TTCCAAACGTGACAACAGCAGCCATCAGTCTTTCCTACTGCAGTAAACATGGGAGGACCCGTCTGCAAGTTCTGTTGTGCTCAAACAGAAGAACTTGAATGTGGGGAAACCAGGTTCCAAAATAAATCTGAATGTCCTCATTTGATTTGAAGTTACTTGTTGTACTTGGGTTTCCAAAGGAAGGTTTCTTGATTCAAGAAAGAGCTCCGACACAAGTTTTAATAATGGCAGGTTCCTTGAAAAGGTGCACATTTGCTCAAGATTAATTTTCCATTCAGATATGATTTCTTTTCCTCTCTTAATGATTTTTAAAAGTATCAGCATTTAGGGGGTTCTACGAAATCAAGAGTTTAGAACTTAAAGTATGTTTTAGTGAGGTAGTCACTCTAAACATGTTTGTGTTTATATTGAAGAGTTATTGTTCATGTCATTGGAAACAGATTCTAAAGTCTTCCTCTGATTTTGATTCTGTAGATCTTCACAATGTTTTCAGAGAAACCGCTTTATCCTCAGTCTAATTAATACTTACTAAATTAGTAAGGACACAATGTGTCATAGTTATTGCAAACATGATTTAAATTTTTCAATTTGGTGATTTAAAACTCCTCAAAGATAGATTTACAAACAAAATGAAGAATCATTAAAATAATAACTGAAGGGAGAAAGGTGTTAACCTTGTTTCTTCTCAAATATTACATATCACTATTCTAAAAGAAAGTAGAGGAATTAAAGTGAGGGTAGATGACATTTCCTTAAGAAAATGTCCCAGCTGCACCCCCAGGAGACAGGTGTTTGCTGAGTCCCTGGAGCCCCCTTTCTGGCCTACTCCAGCTATCCTTAGGACACCTTACATAGCAGTAAGCTTTTGAGTATGGTAATAAAAAAATAAATTTCACGGAATCAATATTAAGTTAGAGAATTTGTCAATTAAATGTCAATACTGACATCAAATATCCAAGTGGTTAAAAAGAAAGAAAGAAATTCGGTCTTTGATCAGTTGTATGTGAGCATTCCAAGATAAACAAGCAGGACATGCTTTTTTAAAATTTCTTTTCCCCCTATTTTTTGTAACAGTTTTGGTTGTGCTACCCAGACACTTTAAGCTGAGTCTGAAGATCTAATGGCAAGAGTTTTCTTAGATAAGTAAAAATTCTGGCTTAAAAACAATATTTTCTGGGCTGGGGTTTTCTGTGGTTCAGTGGTAGAGCGCTTGCCTAGCACATGTGAGGCACTGGGTTTGATCCTCAGCACCACATAAAATAAATAAAAAAAATAAAGGTATCGTGTTCATCTACGACTAAAAATAAAAGAAATATAAAAAACATTTTTGTATTTCTGTGCCATATTGATACATGAATAAGTAATGTAGTTTCATATTTAAATAGTTGCAATTTCAAGTGTGTGCTGGGTAGCTCAACTGTGGGTGGCAGTGAGGAGACAGGAGGGCTGGAGGTGGAAAGTTGTGTCTCCTCCCCTGGCCTCGACTCTGTTGGCCTGTGGTGCAGCAGAGCTAGGGGCTAGAATCTCTTACAAACCAGGCCCAGGTTGGGTCTGGCACCTGCTCCTGTCCTCGTCTCTTCAGAAGAGGGACCTCCCCTCTGTTATTGACCCCTCAGTCTTTCCCACTTCCCTGTTTCCTTAACCCAGCCAGCCAACACGTTTGTGGATGGTCCCTTCCTGTAGCCCCTCTGGATTCTCCGGAGTGTGACATCTGCTTCAGGTTAGGACCCAAGCTGCCATACCTGGTGTGAAGTCACTGCTTTACACCTGGGCTGCATTTCTTATTTTTTCCTGTTGTAAAGTGTCAGTTGGCATTGAGGAGGCTGGGACACCTCAGAGGGCTCTGTGATGGCCACAAGACACCTAGTGCCCAGAGACCTTTTTAAAAGCACTTACCTTGTAGCGAAAACAGTGCCAGCCACCCCGTTCTTTTGAATTCTGAATATTCACACAGATGAGCAACTGTTGTTACAGTCACACAAGAACACAGTCTTACTTACCCTTGTGCCTCTACCTGAAATCCTCTGTAAAGTCAGTGGGTGTCTCCTCCTTGGTTGCTCCCCTTTTCCACTGTTCTCCCGTGAGATGTGGATCTTGTCCTTGGCCAAGTACCTCTTCACATGTGTGGGGAGGGTGGGGAGCTTCCTTCCTGCCCATAGTGGTTCATCCGAAGGCCCACAGCCTCTGTGGCTTCTTTTCCTCCCTTCTGGAGAGTTCTGAGACCTTCTGATGGAGCATTTTAAAGTGTGATGGCACACAGAAGGCAGCTCTGCACACTGCGGCTTCTAGACCAGAATGTCCACATGTCGGAGAACCTGGGTTCTCTGTTAACTCCACCAGGTCCAGGGTAACACGTGGTGGGGGGGAAGGAAGGGAAAGAATTTTAGCTTCTGTGGATATTAACACAGCTCCACATGGCTTTGCCTCCAAGGTCTCCGTCCTCCCACTCTGGTCTGCCCTTGTGTCCCTGAGGACATGCTGCAGAATGGGACTCTGGTGGGAACTGCCTTAGTGTTCTCCTGGTGGCCTCGGGTCTGCCCTGCCCTCACAGTTCTGAGTCCCTCTTCCCCCAGAGGACCTGAGCTGCCATCTATGGCATGTGCTGTCTTGCCCCTGGAAAAGCCTCCAGTGTCTCATCATAAAACTTGGAACAAAAGTAAATCGCTAGCCGAGCTCTGGCCACTTTCTCAGACCTCAGTGGATGGGAGGAGCCTCACCTCGTTCCCACCTTTCTTTTTCCCTGCTGTTTTCCCCCTAGCAGGCCAGGCCCGATTCCCGTGGTCTTCCTGAACGCTCCGCTCTGATGGAGTCGTCTCTCAGGTCTCAGGTCTTCCAGTGGTGGCCCTTTTCTTTTTTCTGTTTTTTAACCTTTTTCATTTTCACTTTTACATAGCACTAGTTGCTGCATGAATTTCTGAACCTGTTTATTATATACCTTCCCCCTCTAGAATGTTCTAGTATTTTGTTCTTTGCTATACCTATGTCTGCTACATGCAGGCATTCAAAACTTTTTGGATTAAATGAGTGTAGCCACAGGCTGTGTGATGGGCTTGTACTTCATGGTGTACAGAATAAGTGCATTCAGAATTCAGCATCCATAGCAGTTAGGTCTGCCTTCCTTTCATGAGCAGAGCTAGAACGTTGTTTCTAGCTCACATTAAGTGACCACCTAACTAATTTGTAATCAGAAATAAAAACAGAGTGTATTTATTAAAAGCATTTTATGCCAACTTTCTATTTTTTTTTCTTTTTTAGTTAACAATAAAATAAGTACTGTTAACTGTTTTAAGTTTTGTTTTGCTGTTAAATCACTTAACTGTATCAGTCTTTCTAACCCTCATAGTGCCAAGTTTACATGTGCAGTGATTTCCAATGGAAAAAACACTTACATGTTTTTAATGCCCAATTCTATTAAACTTTTTTACAGATTTATGAAATAAGAAATCTCTTTTAAGATTAAAGCTTATATTATTGAGCAGAGAAAAAGAAATGTTGATTTTTTTTTGGTGAATATGAACAAAATGAGATTAAATTATTTTAATCACATGAAATAATTATTTGTAAACAATTTTTGTGTTCTGTTTCTGTTTAAATTAATTTACATACAGAGAAAACAGATAATATACTTGCTGTGACTGATAATATGGATAATATACTTATTCCTTAGAAGCCAAATACAAAAATATTCGTTTAAGCCATAAACTACTCCATTAAGAAAATATTATAGATCCTGATTAAGGGACGTAGATTTTCAGATGTATCTGTGGGTTACAGGAAGAATATACATAACTTCTAATGAACTTTCTAAACTATAAGAGATATATCCTTACAAAAAGTAGGGTTGTAAAAGAGATAGATAGTTGAGTGGATGAAAGGAAATGGGCTGATAGAAAACTTTGTAATTGATAAGTGTCAAAGATGTGGGTGATAGGAGGAAGCAGTCTCCCGGGCATCTGGGAATTTTATCTTTAGGGAGCACAACTGGGTTGTAATCCTCTGCCAACCTGAGAGAAGGTGCTCCTGACACATCTCTGTCCCCTGACCCCAGGCTGCAGCCCCAGGCAGGACTGTGTGCACAGATGGCAGCAGTGGTGGCAGACTCATTGGAACTCCAATGTGAACTGGAAATCATGACATCATCTCACTGGTTACAGTTTCCTATTTTTGATGATGATATATTTTTTCAAATTATGTAATTTGCTTTGTTAAAAAGAACTAGATTAAAATTATTCACTAACTACTGCTTGGTTCTCCTTTTAAGTATAGACTTCATTCTAGTTAGATTATAGGGAATATATCTGTTTGAATTTTTACTCAATCATTTTTCTTCAAAGGAAACGATGAGCCATTTTTAGAGAATTAGAAAGGCAGGTGTGCAGCACATGGGTGTGAATGCCAAGCAGCTGAGAGGAAAGCTCATTTGATGTGAGAGGGGAGACATTGGGAGGGACACCTGAAAAGCAGAAGGCAAAGCTCAAGAGCAGGTGACCCATCACTCTCCACATGTAGTCAGAGAGAGTCCTGCACCTCGGGTCCTTTCTGGCCTTGTCCTGAGCTGCCCATCACCACTTCTGTGCCTACCAGACTTTCTTTGTGCAAATCCAAGTGTTGGGAGAGATTCTCTCTCAAGGTTTCTAACCATGCTAAATTTCCAAACTTCCATGAACATGAAACCTGGTGTGTAGCCATGTGAGTGTCCCAAGGAATGGGAAGAGAAATGAGCATAGCTCATGTGACATATGGTTTCATCAGTAATGTTGAGGCAACAGGAAGGTACAGTGCACACCTCGTGGAACTAGGGATAGGAATGATTGTTCTCACCATTCAAGACACTGTTCCTCAGTGCCATTTGACTGTCCTGCTTGTTCCTTGTGTCTGCTTTTTAATGCTACTTTTCTCCTATCACGAAGAATACCCCTCTGCTGTAAATGCACAAGTCTCTCTGGTCCTTACTACAAATGTGCCAGTGCTGTGCTGACCAGTGTTGTATTGTGTTCTAGAGACCGTGTTATTGGTTTGATGATGACTGCCTGTGATCTTTGCTCTGTGACAAAACTGTGGCCAGTTACAAAATTGACAGCAAATGATATATATGCAGAATTCTGGGCTGAGGTATGTCCTTGATTCTTATATTAACATAGATAATGTCAAGAAATGGGAAAATATTTGAGGAAAAATTTAATGTGTGGATAATTTGTTTATTATCATAATTGCTCATGTTTCTGGTTATTTCAGAACAATGTAATCAGTCAAAAATGAAGAAGGATTTAGGAATTATGCACATGAAATGAGAATCATGATTCTATTACATCTTCCTTGAAAGTGTGTGTAAATTCTCTAATCTCAACTGAAAGCATATAGGAATTTATTTCTGAAAAATCATGTAGGAATTTCCCTTAATAGCCGATCTTATGTTCATTCAATAAACATTACAGGACATCTAATTGAGGCAGTAGACAAAGAGGAACCCATAATACGTGGGCTGTATTTACCTGTGGGGAGAAATAGGAGAATAATCATGGTGCCCCCAGACACATGAGAAGGCGTGGCTATGCCAGTGGGCACGACACCTACACATTGTGAGTTCTGTGGAGTGTGTGCAATTTAGTTCATGATCTTCCTGAAACAAACACATACATGACTTTTGTTAGCATGTTTCTCTGACTGAATTATTTAAATTATCATTAATGTTCATTGTATTCCTTAATTTGTTTTCTGAAAGAAAGTAAATACAATTCTCTTGTTCAAATGAATCACAAATACCTATGTGTCTGCATGTTCAAAATTTACTTTATGAAAATGAGTGATAAATCCTTTGGGTTCAATTTTGGAGAAGAGATGTAAAGGTCAATTTGGAGAGCAAAGAGTTGTGTGGTTGAGGATTCAGCCACATATCTCTTGTAGGCAGGAGAATTAACAAAATGTAAAATTAAAAATCACTCACAGGTTGACTAGAAAGGATTATAATGCTGAACTGTTTCACAGTGGTACGCCAGGGAATGTCCTTGCCTGAGGCCCACAGCCCGAGTTGATTGTGTGCCTGCCATTGCTTTTCCCAACTACTTTACGCCTTGTGCGTGTGTGCTTTTGCAGGACTTCCTTTCTTTGCTTTATTGTGTGTGTATCAGAACCTAGTTACTGTCAGACTCATTTAAGGAGATTGTTTTAGATGTTCTTGTCTGAACTGTAATGTTTAGCTTACTACTATCACAGCCAGCTTAATTTGCATGTGTAACCCAGAATAATTGTACGTTCTATAAATACCACTTAGTTTTGCACATAATTTTACCTAAATATATTTCATATTTAACCAACTATATTAAATGTGAATCAAAAAGTGTCAGAATTGCAAGGTGACCTTTACCCTTTATCCAGCTCATTGATAATATTGAGTCCACTAGTAGGATGTAACACCCAGTGTGCTCCTGGGCACAGCCTTCAAGGACTTCCCTCGTAGTCTGTGGAAGAGACAGGAACACAGTTACCTTAGGTCTGATCTGCACGCCTAGGGTCACAGTTCTCCTTCCAGCCCCACCTCACACTCCTGCTACAGCCACCACCAGAGCAGGCCTGGGCCTCTTCCCTTTCCCACCGGCTTCCTTGCAGAATCTGAATCACAGTGATCAGAGAGCCTGGTCTTCAGCCACCTTGCTTGGGATTTAATTAAAGCCTGCTTGGCACTTAGTATGTGGCCCCAGGCAGCTGGATGATGATGATTCTGATTATGTCAGTACCTTCTTCACATTCTCTGCAGCTGTTGTGAAGGAAGTCAACTCGGCAGCAGGGAGCAGAGCCAGTGCCCTCTGTCCCTGGGAGCCCTCCTTACAGACCTGGTCCACAGCACATGGTTGCTTTCCTTTTGGCATTTGTCCTTGCTTTAAGAAATATTCAAATCGGTGTTTATTTAAAAATCTGTTTACTTATACTACTTTTACAATTCTTGAGATCAAAGAACTTAATGGGTTTCACTCACCTAGGATAGTACAGAGAAAGGTTTGGAACCACTGATGTTAACACTTAAAGTGACGTCAGCCAGCCGGAGTGGCTCTCCAGCACCGCGCCTGGCCGCGCGCAGAGTGCTCAGGGCCTGCTGCTCTGGGGTACTGCAGGGCTCCCTCAGCAAACCTCGGAAGACCCAGGCCACTCTCGCGATTCCGAAAGCAAGCCTAGTTAACACCACTGAACTGTTAAAGGAATGGGAGGGAAGAGTGGGGAGTAGGAGAAACTCAGGAAATGTTAAGGAAGAAGATTTTAACAAGTTTTAGCAGATAAAAAGCAAGATAATTTTTTAAATCTATAAGATGAAGATAATACATCCATCTCATATTGTTTCATGAGGATTACATGAAATAATGCTTACAAATTAGCCCAGAGCCTATAATGTGAGAAATCTTTACACGGATTTTACCGTGATTATAAACTAGGTGATGCTTTGGTGTCCCTTCCTAACGTCCTCAGACTGTTGCTGAGTGGTCCTCTCCACAGCCCAGCTTACCCCGCTCCATTCTGTCCCTGGTTTACTGCTCCTCCCCACTGTCACTGTTTCTCCCCTGCTGTAACTCCCACTAACTGATGCACAACGAAGGCCGAGAGAGGACTGAGACTCTGTGCAGGAGAGCATCTGAATAAAGGCCAAATAGTGATGCCGTTAGGCTTTTTATTGTTTTGACACATTTATTTTAAAAATATTTTTATTAATGCACTGTAGTTATACATAATGATGGGGTTCATTTTGACATCATTACATATGCATGAAATATAATTTGCTCCATTTCAGTCCCCAGTACTTCTTCTCAAGACAGTATCCAGCAATATTTTTTGAAAAAAAATAATAAAGGGCATAACTTGTTAATACCAACATTTTATGATTATTTGAAAATTGAAAGAGAATAATTTCTCCCTCCCCTTTATTTTAGGGCGATGAAATGAAGAAATTGGGAATACAGCCAATCCCTATGATGGACAGAGACAAGAAGGATGAAGTCCCACAGGGGCAGGTATGAGTTGGGGGAGTCCACTTGTTGTTCATGTGGGTGTAAAATCATTCACGAAGAGAAAGCTGTAACACCTTGCGGAGTAGAGGGACAAGTGGGTCATCCCAGGTCTAGTGACTGATGAGGAAAGTCAAGGATTTATCCTTCAGGGACTGAGAACTGGGAGAAGAACTATACCCTTGAACCACCATCCACTTGACTGAACCTGCACAAGCTTACACACTCTTAGGAATCTTACTTGAGGGATGGAAAAGTAGAATCCAAAAGTTGGTGTTCCCACTGAGGATGGAGGGCCAGCTCTGACCCTGCAAACCAAGGTGGGGAGTCTGGAGGGTGTGGCTACCTGAGGGCAGGAAGGAGGGCATGCTCCTGGACACACGAGAGCTTCTGGAGACCACCTTGCCTACCCCAGCTTGGTGGCAGAAGACAGAGCTTAGGAAGCCCAGCTCTCTGCAGATGGCATTGCCGTCAATAGATTCTTCTGACCTGAAACCCAGGGATGGAGGACTTCGAATTGTTAACACACTCTGTCGTTGGCTGAACTAAGTTTTTGTTGTGTTGTTTTGTTTTTTGAGAGTAGCATCATGGATTTTGTGTCAGGTCTATTTTTTCCTCAAAAATAATGCTTAGTATTTTTTATGTTTTTTAGTTGTAGATGGACACAATACTTTTATTTTTATTTACTTTTATGTGGTGCTGAGGGTCGAACTCAGTGCCAGGCGAGTGCTCTACCACTGAGCCACAACCTCAGCCCAGTGCTTAGTATTTTATAAAGTTTTTTCTTAACAATAATTGACATTAATGATTGTCTTTCCAGGACTCATTGTAATCCATGTTGATTTTTTAATATTCTAAGAGAGCTTTTGCAATGGGGTACATGTGTGTATGTGATGTTTTTCTCAGTTATGAGACCAGCTTAAACTACCAATCTTCTAATGACACAATAGGAAGAAAGTTACAGACAAAAACTTATAGAATTTGCTTAGAAGCATGTCAGATCCTCCTGGTATGGTGGTTCTGGACAGGTTCTCTATGTTCCTGCTCTTTTTAAATTTAATGTGGGCAAGTCCACGGCTCAGAGAGGGTTGGCCTGACAGGGAAGTTGAGTGGTTTACTCCTGGCAATTGCCTTGGGTGGTTCATTTTTTTCCTTCTTACATGACAGTGCACCTGACATACCTCTTCTGCATGCTAGACACACACACACAAACACACACACAAACAGGATTGCCTGCTATCCCTGCTCATGGAGTTATTTGGGGTTACAGCGACTCATTGTTTCTTCCTGGGGTTTGCTTTTTATGTTGTATTTTAAAGTCCTTTCCCACCCTAACTAGACTCGCTCCTGTATTTTCTCCAGTTATTTCTTCTTTGTTTCATCACTTTACGTTTGATTATTAATTCTTCTGGCATTTGTCTTGTTACATGGTTTAAGAAAAGAATCTTCATAAATTTTCCTTTCCAAATGTTTAAACAGTTATCATTATAGACTATATAGGAGGGCTGAAAATTTTTCCCTGATGCACTCAGGTTATGTTTTTGTGTTTTGAGTAGGAGAATAGTTTGTTTTAGAATTGCTTGCTTTGGGCCAAAACTTTGAGTCCTTTTATAGTGTGATAAACTATCTCTGTGATCAGCTAATGTTTATCAACTATGCTGCTCTCCAGTTATTGAGTACAATGAACATATTCTTTGTCATAATAATGCAATTCTCTACTTTCCAATAATTATTCTCTTTCTTGGGACTTTCTACTTCATGACACCTGCTAAATATTAGAATCAGGGGATCTCTGCATGAGGTCTGGAGTTAAGAAGGAAGCTGCACAGGCACTGTCCTAGGAAGATGGCCCTGACAGGAACCGTGCCAAGGAGAAGGCAGAAAGGCACTGCGGGGCCTCTGTTCTCCCCTGTCCTTTGATGCATGTCCTTGATACTCAGTTTTTTAAAGAAATTGGTAAACTGTGGCCTGTGGATTCCCCCTGAACCTGCCTGGAGTCCTGCTGGCACTTGGGCAGTTGTGGGCCAGGGGTGAGCGGAGCTAGCCCATCCTGGGCGGGTCTTGGTGGCTGGACCGCCTGCCTTCTCTGCCACCAGTCTCAGGATCTTTTACATCTTGCCTCCAGTCTGACGCAGTATTATCTATTAGCAAGTGATTTAAAATTCCTGATAAAGTGTTCTTTAAAATATTTTTACCGTGGAATTTAGAACTATTAAATCTAGCATTTTTAGAGAATAATAACACCAGAGAGCTATGATATAGTAAATAACGTTTATCACAGGTAAAAAATAAAAGGAGAAGGCCATCAGGTGCCCACTCCAAGGATAGTGCACAGTAGATGGGGACACTTCGGTGACACCGGAACATCGGGCTGGATGCAAGTCAGACCTGTAGAGCAACAGACTTAGCTCTGAAATGCCTGCATTGGAGTACTGAGTTTAACCAGCAACAGCAACAGCCTAACTCATATCAGTAGATCCCCTGTAGCTCAACGTGGGTTTTAGATCTCAGTGGATATAGACTTTTGTAATATGTTTTTTTCTTATTTGTTTTATTTCTAGGATGTATTTTAATGCATTTTAAACTGCATTCAGCAGTAGTAGTCGTTGAGCCCAAATATCACATGCAGCACAACTAGAAGATTTAATTTATAGTTATTAGACTTGAGAACAGAAATTGAGGTCGACTAGATCACTAATGGGCAGTTCTGTTTCTTGTCCATGACTTTGCACGGAGGCAGCTTGGGTTCTACAATGCCGTGGCCATTCCCTGCTACACCACGCTGACCCAGATCCTCCCCCCGACCGAGCCTCTGCTGAAAGCATGCAGGTACGTACAGTGGTTCAAGCTGTAATGTGATCTAGAAGACAAGATAAATCCAGATCAAATAACAACCAAGACTCCATGTAGGACTTTTCGTTCCGTCAACTTATGAATGTGTCTTATCTACAGTTTACAGCAAACATGAGTTGAGAGGCTCTAGGTTTGCCTAGGTATCAAGTTTCCCTCTTTTAGTGTCTTGGGCGTCCTGGCTAGCCAGCTTCCCAGCTCCTTCTCCCCTGCAGCTCAGCGCCCATCAGAGGTGAAGCTTAGACACCACCTGGTGTCAGGCAGTTCATCCCGCACCTCAGACAGGACGGGGTGGGGAGCAGGCCTGCTGACGGAGTCGGGGTCAGCTGTGGAGACCTTTCTGCTCAGGGGACGGTGCCCCCTTACATCTGTGCTGCCTGGCTGGGCACCGAGAGAGCACACTCTGCTTAGCCCTATAAATGGCCTCTGCTGATGGGGGCTCCTCCCTGGACATGGGAGACCAGGCCACATGCCACAGGGAAGGCCCAGGTGTAGCAGCAGGAGATGCCCAAGCTCATCTCACAGCCATTGTAGTTCCTTACATGTGCCACATGAGCATATGTGAAAACCTCACTCACAAAATCATCCAGGAAGGAGCAGGAGGTGTTTGTAACCCTGTAGAGGTCCCACCCAATCCTGTTTTTTAAAAAGTCCAAACAGTAATCTCTGTTCATGGATGCTTATTAGGAAAGAGGCTTATCTTAAGTCATAGTTAATGAGTTACATGGAAAAAAGAGATAACTTGAATGGGGAGCCCCTTCCTATTTAAGTATTTTTTTCTTCCAAAAAGAAATTTAAGCCATCTCTTATTTGTTCTAGCTTCAGACTCTCTGTCCTTCCCTCACTTTTTCCTGAGGATTCAATTCAGTTAGGAACATTAAAATTTTAAGAATATTTTTAATTAACTTTTAAAAGAAGTTCCTCTGAGGAAAGCCTGTGAGTAGGTGCCCCATGGTGTTCCTGACTATGTACCACAGCCAGCATGGGCATGGGCATGGGCACGGATGCACTCTGGGAGGACGAGGACTGACACGCGGTCGGCCACTGCACACAGAACCAGAACCAGAACAGGCTCTCCCTTCTCTGCTGTTGAGATTTACTTTATGGATTATTTTTTAAGGACAACAGGCAAAGCCTACCCAGCAGCATAAAATAATGATGGTTTTCCTATGTGAGACAGGGTCTCTCCTTCCTTGCTCCGCCTGGGGAGATTTTGGACCCGCCTTAGTTGGGTGGAGCCTTGGCCAGCCTGAGCTGTGATTGGTTTACTGGAGTCGGCCCTGTGCACAGGGCTCAGCCATGATGGGAGGCTGGCATGTGACCAGGACTCTCCTGGTGGGATCCCGTTGTGGAAGTCAGGCGCACTGAAGAGAAATTGGAGCATCAATCTAACTCCAGCATGTAGCTTAGAATTCCCTGTTTCATGCTAAATATTTAGAAGTGGGAGGAGTGCATAGCTGCTGTGGCCCTGGCTGCGGATGGTGGAGTTGCTTTCCGTGGGCAGCTCTGTGAATGCAGGACACAGTATCATGGTGGCTCTGACACCTTCTAATGCAGCAGACATGACTGAACCACATAATCTCTTTAAGGCCGCTGTAATCTTAGAATTAAAAAAATCAGCATGTGTCGTCGGTATTCAAGGAAACATGCCAAATGTAGCATCTTCCTTTTTCCAGGAAACCTTGAGTCTGGGAAAATGCTATTTCATGTTATGGTGTGGAAATTAGAAGTGTAGCGCTCTTCAGTCTATATTTTAGGAAGCCCTTTTGTCTGAAGGTGTCTTACCATATCAATAAAAGAAAATTGTGGAAAGAGTTTTTACTGTGCCTTGTATGAGTTTTGTTTGCCAGTGTCAAAGTTCCCTTCTGATTTTGACTTTGCATAACAGAAAGCAAAGTCCAGATGGGAGTGTTCCAGGAGTTCTGCGGGGTTAGCCATGCAGAGCACCCTGGTGGTCCTGCAGCAGTTGCCATCCCACGGTTAGAGGCTGACCTGCCTGTGACATTCAAACTGAGGGCTTCGAGAGAGACCAGAGGGCTGCGGGAGGAGCAGCCTGCACTTCAGACGGGAGGCAGCAGATCATAAGCGGGGCTTTCCAGTAGCAAGACAATTAAGAGTTTGTGCCAGGCGGTTTCATTTTGTGTGTGACACAGTATTCAGAATGAGATCTGAAGCATGGTGAGGAGTGTCTCCAGGCCTCCAGAGGGAGCCCTGTGTCCAGCCTGCAGTGTGAACGCCTGGGTCCTACTCTGCCACAGCCCAGTGGCCTCCTGCACTGCCATCCCCGCCTTTCCTCATCCTGCACAGCCCAGCAGGCACCTCAAGGGCTCACTCCCTTGAAGGTCAGTCCCTCCAAATGCTTAAGAAATGGCACTTCCTGACCCTTGAGTGGCTTTGTCTTTGAGACTGGAGCTTGTGGGGGTGAGGTGCCCAGTGCCCTGTGGTTCCCAGGCCTTTTCTGTGGAGACATGGCTGGTGCAGCCCAACCAGCTCACCCCAGGGGCCAAGAAGCCTTGTGCCCAGTCAGGCCACAGGGCTGTTTGGTCAGCTTTGGAGACGAATGCAGAAATTCTCTTTTCAACGTCACCTCTGTCTTCTGCCCCCAGGGATAACCTCAGTCAGTGGGAGAAGGTGATCCGAGGGGAGGAGAGTGCCCAGTGGATCTCAGCCTCGCCAGCGGCCCCAGAGACCTCTGAGAAGCCACCCGTGAAGACTGATGGCTGACAGCAGGGCCAGTTGTCCCACCAGCGAGTCTCATCTTGCTTCTTTGACTTTTTTCCTTTTATTTTTGAGGGGGGAAAACCTACACCTGGTAGCTGGGGTGAAAACCTTGGAGAAGCTGACGTCAAGTGTGTGTGTGCGCGAGCAGACGACTTCCCAGGGTCTCAGCACACACACCCAGCCAGAGTGCAGCCAGCAGGGCCCGTGTTCAGAAGTCAGCTGGCCAGGACTCCCCAGCACCCAGCCGTCCTTTGCTAGCAGGCTGATTTGCCCAGGCCTTACAAGAAATGGACCAAGACTGCTCAGAGGGTGCTTTCCACGGCGTCTCTCTCTGAGGGTTTGACACGGTACTTTTGTGCTATTCTACTTTGGCTCTCACACCATTGTTGCTTTGGCGTCCTTGGTTATAAATAGGTTTTTACACTTTCCTATTGTGAATGTTCTTGTGTGACCTCCTTGGGGTTGACTTGAATTGTAGCCCAGCGCCTCAGGACCAGTGTCATGAAGATCAGAGAGTCAGAAGTGATGGAAAAGCCAACGCTCCACGTCTGTGGTGGAGGGCGGTGAGCCGGCTTCACACTAAGGGAAGCGGACGTCTGGCCTTTTGAGAAGAGCTGTAGGTGTGCACCCTGTCAGCCTCAGAACTTCAAGTCTCAGTTCAAACAATGTCAAAGAGTTAAAAAAAATTCCTCATTGTATTCTTGGAAAATTTATTGAATCTTTGCATAAAGAACAAAATAAAAGCAAGGCATATAAAACTTTTAATGAATAAGTCTTGTGTGAATGTAAAATGTGAATATTTAATAATGAGTCCTTGAAATTGTCACTTTGTCATGGAAAAAGTTTAGACTCATATTCAAAATGGAAGGTTCATTCTAAAAGTTACTTCGCTAAAAGACCATACAGTTCTCTTAAAATCAAATGGCACCTTGACGTTTTGATGTTCCGTAGCTCACTTGAGTCTGCTGTCATCCCTCCTGTTCTGTCTGCGCGCTGCCCAGTCCCCTCTCAGAGGCTTGCTGTGGGGGGCACAGCCATGGGGAGGCACAGTGCCCTTGCACTGTCCCTTGTCTCTGTCCTGTTCTCTCCTCCCAGATTAAACATCCACATCAAAACCAGTGACTTGGGTGGTTGCTCCTATATGAGTTTTTGGCAGACTAATACCACTGAACAGGTTAGTATCTAGAAGAGTCCAACAGCGCTCTCTGGATCCTTCTGCAGACATTAAAGAACAGGCAGTATCAGGTCCTGCTAGTGCTTTAAAGAGTCTGAGCCCACCCACGGCACAGTGGTATCTGAACCCCAGGGAATCAGAGTCTTCAGGAAGTGACACCCAGTCCTTAGCGAGTAGCTCATTCTCTATTCTCGTGGCAGGAACATGGAATATTACTTTAGAAAACAAATTTTTAAAAATAGGCTTATGCATACTCGATACCATACACATCATTCATATGAGCTTGATGTTTGCAAAATTAAAGCCTTTTCTACAACATGGTTTATTATGTTGTAGCAGAGTTGACTGTACATAACCACTGTTGTTATTTTAGATTAACACTATGTGTTCAGTTTCCTTGTGGGCCTCTGAAGTTGCCATCTTCTTTCCATGGAGCTCCATTTGCTATTGTACTTAAGTAATAGGAAGTAAAATGTAATAACTAAAGAGAGGAATCCGACTGTGGCTAGATCTACACACACATACATGCATGCATGTAGCATGTGTGCACACACAGATGTATATATGATGCACTCACATAACACATGAGACAGAAGCAAAGATAGGGAGAAAGAGGCAAACGTGTATGAAAAATAAAAATCATCCTCATTCTTTAAAAAGTGATTTTTGTGTTGAGAAATGTTTGTTGCTTGATAAGTTTGACCGAAGTGTGATTATTCAATGAGGATAAAATTCTAAAAAGTTGCATAAGTTTCCTCATATGAGTTTATTAAATGATCCCATCAAATACAACTTTCATTACGTAAATGGATTGAGTCATCTAATCTAATTTGTAAGATAAATTGCAGGAGGGGGGTTATCATTTAAGATTATTGTTTAATTAAAAGGATTTTAAAGGCATGCTGAATCCTGATTCTTAATGGGGAAAACAACCACTGGGCGGGGAATCTCACGGCCGCTTTTACATTTGAAGGTTGCTCTTCTGATCTGATCACAGGAAATTCTTTTAATTTGATATGGCCAAGGGTATTGTATTGTATGACTCTACTTTGAACAGTTTTCCAAAGGAGAGTGTGTAGCTCTGCTGGGGGGGGGTCCATTTCTTGTGAAATCTTGTCATAATAGAAGTGCAGCTTGAACAAAGTAATATATGCTATAACATCAAGTGTTTCCATCACTTTTGCCATGTGTGAGATTGTTTTAGGAAGCATAGATTGACCTAAAAAGAGCCTAGGATGCACTGATATTTAGTTAACAATTCGTTTTGGAAAACATATGGTCAGGAGCATCTTTGCATTTTGGCAAATATGTTTGGCAGACAAACTGTTTCTCGTCTTTTTCCCAGATCTTTTCTTACAAGGAAAGTGTGATACCAGAAGCCAGGCAGATGTTTTCATGCCAAATTAAGGTGATATTTTAGAGTAGGCTGGATTTTCCTTGATATAAATTCAGTAAGCAGCTACAACTAATGTAGAAAGTCCAGTTTGTAGAAATTTATATTGTTTATGTTGATTAGTAATGGGTAATGCAATTATTCCATTATCTTTCCAGACTTAGTGAGCATTTTTTAATGTATGCCAACAACAACATGAAGCATCGAACCCTGTCAGTGGTGTAAAATCCTACAAAAATGCAAGCATCTTATTAATTAGTAATGAATTAATTAATTAGGAAGACTAAAAGGGAATGCAGTGGGTATAAACAGCTAATAAACATGGCCTTTTTCCCAAGGCAGGGACACCTGTATCTCAGGCCCCTGCTTTAGTTACTGCAAAGATGAGTCTGAGAGACTGACCTGGGGAAAGAGCCCGCTGAGCCACCAGCCAGCAGGCTCCGTCTTGGCTCCTCCTCATGGTGACCCTTACAGTGGCATTCCAAGGGGCGCCTGCTCACAGCCATGGATGCAGGGTCCATCTGATCTGAAACTAGATTTGTTCAGTGTAGGTTTCCTCTTTTTTAGCATGTTTTAAAATTTTGTTTTTCTAATTTTGTACAGGACATGCAGAGATGCACAAATCCCTAGATACCTGGGTTTTTAGTTTGCCATGTTGTGTTTCTGGTCTCTGAATTCAAAGTCAAGGTTTGAGCTCTAACAGTACTAAATTATTCACCATGCCTTGGCCTGTGCCTTGACTTTAAACACTGCAGTTTTATTTACTTCCTCTCTCCTGGTCATTAGTTTGCTTTTTCTTCTCCTCCTCCTCCTCCTCCTTCTTTCTTTTTCCTTAAATATAATTGAAAACACTGAAAGGACCACATCCCTGGTTAATTTGATCAAGTTGAGTGAACCAGGACCATTCTCTCCTCATCAGATTCCTGTCCTTTCTTTGGCTTACTTGACATACACCCTGGTGACTGCAACCAATGAACAGCTCAGATTGTCTTTACTGAAAAAAACTTCTAAGAACTAACACTGCGTCTGATGTGGTTTTGTTGGCTTGCAGGTACCAGAGGCATGATTCAGATTTTTGAAAATCACTTCTCTATATATTTCCAATGTGTCTGCTTTCTACACTTAGATTTTATTTAGGTTGTAATTCTCAATGACTCTTCTTTTAGTCACTTTAGTGGATCCCTTCTACTGCAAGTGTTGATTTATCAATCACTGTACAACTTGAGTTGGCTGTGTATGCTAAAGCCAGTTCCCCACGCTTAGCAGCGCATGGCTGTTAGAGTTGCACATGTGTGTGAGTATTAACCTGATGCACATTTTGCTCAATTTTTTACGCATTTATACTAAGTTTAAATTAGTGGTGCCCAGTGCAGTACATGTTGTTTTTGTTGTCTTTAAAAAATAAACAAACCAAAAACTGTACAGTTTGGTTGCCTAAAGCATTGGATATATTTTATGTGACGAAAAAAATTAGCCAAGAAAGAAAAAGTTCAGTGGAATTCTTGTTCCAGATTAAGAAGATAGAACAAAGAGAAACACATATTAATATTGCTTAAGAAAAGCGCATTTAAAATCCAAAGAAGCACCATGATAGTCACCTAATTTTTCTCTCAACCTCACAGCAGACGGTGCGTTCTGAGTTGTAAAGTCTGCCTGCTCTGTCCTCAAGTTTGAGAAATTATAACTGAAACATGTATACCTGGGCCTGGCTCTGAGGCCCCGGAAAAATGTCATGAAAGGACCACAGCGGGAAGTCAGCGTGTATATTTTAATGCCCAGCTAATAACTTTGAGGCACTATTTATTTGCAGAAGTTTGAGCAAAATGTTTTTATTCCTGATATAAATTTAGTTTAAAACTGTATTATTTAATATTCCAGGTCACCTAACACATCATCCTATCATGGATGTTGCAACCTGTTTTTTTCTTAGGTCACCCCGATAACCCCATTCTCTGCTGTCGCTCAAATACCCAACATAAATGACAGTTGGGAATATTTTTTCCATATGATCTGTTGTATGGTGTATATGCTGACTATCCATTTAGTGTGCAGATTGAAAGTACAGTAGATTCATCAGTAGAAGGCATTTCTAATATCTAAACAATATTCCTACCTGTTTGAAATTAAGTGCTTGCCTAAAACACTGTGAAAGTTACCAAAATTTGTACAAATGCAGCATCTTGATTCTTTCTGAGAAGAAAAGGTGACTTTCTCTACATAAACATAAGCGCAAAAGAGATGCTGTACCCCCACCTTGCCAAGGCATCTAGGAGCGCACTGTGAAAGGTTCCTGCAGACCAGGACCATGGGAGCGCAGCCAGGCCCTGTACCACAGTGCCCGGATAAGCTGACGACCTACAGGCAGCAGCTCTGGCCAAAGCCTTACTAGGATCTCTTGGAAGGGGAAAAAAATTCCAAGTTAACAATATCCAACCT